CCCCAAAACCCCAAAACCCCAAAACCCCAGCATAAAGTAATGCAAGCAAATAGATGATAAGCAATAACAATTCATAATTTGAAATTAATTTAAATTCAACAGCGATAAACACTTAAATACTTTCACAAATACAAACAAAAATGGACGATTTGAAAAGTTTAGTTATTCAGTCACTTGAAGAAGAGGGCACTCTTTCAGCTCTTAGAGCCTAGCTCAGATCCCGTGTATTCCATGCCATAGAGGCACATGCTGACGAGAAGTCCAAGCAAGCAGCAGGCTTTTAATGGTAGAACCCCACTGCTCAGAGAATACATGAAAACGAGGAGTCGAAGCTTGTAGCATAGCTCATTAAAGAGTACTTGGAGTTTTACAGAATGGACTATACACTCAGTACCTATGTTCCAGAAGTAGCTCTCTAGAATCAAGAAGCTTTATCCAGAGATGAGTTAGTCAAGAAGACTGGCGTCCAATTGCCTAAGGATAATAATTCTTAATCAAGTGCTCCTATTCTCGTTCAACTATTGAGACAATTAAAGCATGAATAAACAAAGCCAAATGATGTTGTGCAGGCAATGGGCTAACCAAAGAAAGAACAAATAGAGGAAAAGAAATAGCCTGCTTAGTAGTAGCAACAACAGCCAAGCGCCACTAATAAAATAAACAATAAAGTTTAAAATTATGGAGGCAAGCTGACCCAGTTTGATGACGATATTGATGAGGTTATTGATGCAGATGATAACAACTTTAACAAAGATGACTTTAATGATGGAGATATTGCTACTAGTGGCAGTATTGCCTGCATCGACTAGAGTATTGACACCTAGAGACTTGGTGATTATGATTACATGGAAGAGATCAGCTGATCAGCTGCCTCAATGTATGTTAATAATTGGGCTTGATTAAATGGCGAGAGATGCCAGTATTGCTGGATAGAGACATGCTTGACTATGGAAGTGTATTCCGATGGTCAATTATGCTTACTATTTGTGAATCTGGGCATCAAACTTTTCTCTATTAATAACTTTATTCAAATCTACATCTTCAATATTTTAATTAAACTAATTATCTAAGTTTAAAAAGTATAATTAATCATCATTAAGGAACAAACGATCTAAGTCTAGCAAGAATGGCTTTATAAGTTTCATTTTCCAGATCACCTTGAAAGGGAGGGGTTGCCTCTTTGAAGGCTCTTTCAAAAATAGTTAGAGTTCTATCGAACAACTCATCATCTATGGCTTTCGTTGTCTATTTGGACTCTACTTGATTGCCCTCCTCGTCAGTTATATACATGACTTCTTCTTTAGTGACTGTGCAGTGTTCCTCAACCAACTTGAAAAATTGCAGACTTGTTATCTTAGTATCTAGATCGAACTTAGCGAAGCCACTTAATCTCTAAACAATAGCTTTATATCCAATGGCATTCTAAGTAAAGGTTAGCACTATTCAATGCTTACAGTTCTATCTGGATCGACAGCATAGTAGCAATCAACTGCTCTATTTTGTTGTTTTGTATAGTCCAATTATTACTCAAGCTCCTGCAGTTATTGAGTCAACTAAGGCAGTTGATTATCTCTTATATCTCCGTTTTCAGCAGTCAGTCTGTCTACTTCGTCCCACATTGGGTCACGTACTTCTCCGAAGTAGTCTCTCAGATGCTAAACAGGGTCTGACGGCTTAGGGTCTGCTGATCTCAAAGCCAGTATATCTATAGTTTAGATAGTTAGATTTCGTTTCGATGAATTTAGTTTCAATTCTCATAATAATCATTCATATCATTGAAATTTGCAGTCTTATTATAATAACGATGGACTTACACTTAACAATAGCCAGAACTACATCATTGTTAGCAAGGTATTCACGGAATTTTCTGGTCTTCTCTTCTTTCTTCATAACCTAAACCTTTTATGTACGTTTCTTCTCAGGCAAGTATTCCATTTATATTTTATTTAAATTATTGCTTTAAACTTATAATTTCACTCAATTTAATTTGTTAACCAAATCATTGGGGTTTTGGGGTTTTGGGGTTTTGGGG